CTCACAAGTTGTGGTCATTTAAGTTTCTAAGAAAGCTCAAATAAACTGTAGTTTCGGGAGAAAAAAACCCTGCAATTATATGTAGGTCACTTTTATTTTAAATCCAAACACACCTCACACGTTTACTGCTTTTAAAGTCAAAACCAGTGACACAGAAAATCACTTCCAAATATTTGCAGTGATCAAAAGCTAAACAGCTCTGCACAAAGCCTCATATCAGAGTTTGAAAGTCTTACTTTACACGTCTGGATGTTTTTTTTTTTTATTGACGCTGTTTGCAAAAATATCGATTTCATCACATCACACAGATTCTTTGTTCAGCATTTTGTCTTTTACTACAGCATGTTAAATAAAAAGAGTAAAGTCTCATATCATCGTTTTTTAATCACGTGGGTTTGTGGAATTTACGGCGCACAAACGTTTACAACAACTGAGCAAAACATTTGAGAGCAAACAAACAGAGACATCAGAGAGTTCATGATGCTAGAAAGCAGCTCAGACGGGAATGACTGCTTGTCCCAAATGTGCCTCACATCTGCAGATTCCTTTGGCTATAGTTAGCCGACTGTATCCACAGACTCTATTGGTGCAGCTTTGCAGACACAGATCCTGCTAATTAGTTAATAACAGATGAGTAAAGCCCTAAAATTCCACTCACCAAACTGGAGCTCGGGTATGTTAGATGATCTGTTAGTACATATGCACAGCAGTCATATTAGTGGTTAAATAAATACTCCAATCAGCTGTGGTGAAATAGCCGAGGTGATTCACAGCTGTCAGTCAAAGACACCAAAGATGAGTCACATCCAGCACAGTTATCATGAGGATGCAAAACAGCTGCAGGGATAGAGTGGATATCAGAGGACCTGCAGCTCTGGCTTCATCTTTCTGTTTTGCAGGTGTAAACTGTCTCATGTGTGTTTCCCTTACAATGTTCGCCAGGTTGTTTTTTTGTTCTGGTTTGGTGTCTTTTTGTAATCTAATGCATGTGATTCAGCACGTCTGCACAATGAAACACTGAGTGTTATAATCCTGAGTGTGTGATGATCCTAACCTCACAGAGGCACAGAGTTATCGAAGGTTTGGTCTCTATAAATGCAGCTTCAGGGTTTGTTTATGTTACCAGGATCGAATAAAATGCATCAACCTTTGTTTGTTTTTAAAAAAGAAGCTGCTTTACAGACTCATAGAGCTTTAACGTGTCTCTGTGAACTAGTTTGTCCTCTGAAGGCCAGAGACAGGCTTTTGTTTTATTATGAAAGGAATAAAAAGGCAAATTTATGAGACTAAATATTTAAGACTAAAGATAAAAAAATAATTAACTGTAATTTTATATGCATGAAACCAAGAAAATTGTTACTCTGCTGATTTCTTTGCAGTGTGTGAAACATCCAGTGTCAGCACAACAACTGTTACATTTATCAGCCTCATGTTTTTGGTTTGTTCACACGGGACACTCTGTTAATGAAAGTTCTTATTAAAACTGTTTTGTTCACAGAGGTTTGTTGGGACTTTTCTGATATGATGTATGTGTGGTATTGAGTGAATGGTTGTCTGTCTCTCTTTGGCCCTGGCTGGCGAGGTTTCCAGGGTGTAACCCACCTCTCGCTGTGTGGTTGCTGGGAGGGGGATAGACTACAGCGCCCTCTGGACCCTGAAATGGAAAAGGCTTTTACTTTAGAGTATATTTTAAGGAGTCTAACAAACACTTATTATTGTTTTAACCAGAAGAAACATGAGATTGGTTTGAGAAGAGGTGAGTAAGCACGTGTCAGGTTTACTTTTATTTCTTGATATTGCAGTTTGGCTTCTCTGCAGAAGAGGGCAGTGCAGCTGCGTCTTTGGACGGTTGCTCTACATAGATCAGCCGGCACTCAGAAAGGTCATGTCAGTCTTGAGATGGGAGGAGCAAATAAAGCACCAAACTACACAAGCTAAACTCAAGGACAACAGGTGATTTTAAATATATGTTTCTTTAAAACTTGTGGATAATTTTCATGTATAAAAACATCTCACACTGTCCTAAAGGTCTGAAGTCTGACTCATTTAACTGATTGCTAAGATCTAAACATTGTATGATAGATGCTGCAGGTTTTGATGCAGCATCATCAGAATGAACAAACCTCTGGGAAATGTTTGATCCTGTAGTTATAAAAACACGTCAGCTTTCTTCTGCTTTCCCTTTAAAATGGAAACAGTGAGAGAAGACAGTACAAAACCAGCACATTGCTTTATTATTAAAGTGCACGACACAAATTATTCTGCAAATATGTCAACTTACAACGATGCACAAAATTAAACAAACAGCGAATCCAATGAATGGACTGTCAATGCCTGGGTACTCTCCCTTTAACAGAGCCAAGAGCCTTCCTTTCCACTTCCTCCATGTAAAGGTTGGCTACAATAGGTGACAC